AAGAAAAAGAAATAAAGAGATAAAGTAATTAAAAGGCTCTGAAATAATTTTTAGAATTATAATAATGAATTTGATAACTCCTGTAGATTTTTCTAGTGTTTTCCTCTGCCCAGGTTTCAGTAGCACATCTGTACAGAAAAACAGCAGAGAAAGGCAGCTCGTGGGGGCTCCGAGTCATGGATGAAATCCCAATCATGCTGGATTCCCATGCTGGGCTTCAGCCTCTTCTGCCTGGCTGCTGTGGGTTCAGCTCTGAACCCCTGCATTCCTATCCTCCTGGAATCCCACTCTGCTCCCTGGAATGCTGCTCAGCTGCTTTCTGGCTGCAGTCAGGGTGCCTGATTGCAGGAGAGGGAGGATAAATGCTCTCTCTCACCCTTCTGCTTTCCAGGCACTGGCTTTAGCAATCAAAGAGGCAAAACTCCAGCACCCTGACATGCTGGTAACCAAAGCTGTGGTGTACAGAGAAACAGAGCCCTCTCCAGAGGAAAGGGACAAGAAACCTCAGGTAGGTGGAGAAGCTGCCAGGTGTGATTTACTCCTGCTGGTAATGGTGGTGTCACAGGTCACAGTCTCTGGTCCCCACAGAGGGTGGCATGGTGGCTCTGGGCTCAGCCACCTGGCTGTGGTCAGGAAGTCACTACCATGCCACTGAAAGCAATGCTGTGGATGTCACCCTGCTGTCCTGCTCAGCACAGGGCTCAGAGGCATTTGATGTAAAAAGGAAAGGACCTGGAAAGAACCTGCTCATCCCCCTGAGGTGGGAAGGGAATGAGGGATCTCAGGTTTTTGGGTAGGCTGAGGCACTTGGCTACAGGTTATGCAAAGCCAAAGTATCAGAACAATGTTGGCACAAATTATATTTGCTTTACAAAAACCGTACAGGCTTTCAGTCCCACTCATGCCCAGGTTTAGTTTTTATACACACACAGGTGTAGGCAGCAGCACACAGGGTTTGCCCCTCTCTGCAGACACCCCAAAGCTGTCACAGTCCCAGACACTTCTCTAGGGCTTGGGGAGTCCTGCCCCACCCTGAGCCCCCTCTTTGACCCCATTGCCCCTGTCAGCCTGGAGCTGCAGCTCCTCTGGGCTGGCACAGCCACCAGAGCCCTGTGTGGGAGCACTGGGGACTGAGGTGCAGAACAGAGGGAACAGTTTGGGGGCTCTGGCAGAGCCAGGCTGCAGGTGCCTTTGGAGAGGCTCCTCAGAACTGGGGTTTTCCATTTCTTTATCATATGAAGGTTCTGATTGACAGCTTTTAGGCCTGGAAAAGTGACCAGCAATGCAGCTGGGGAGGCCATGAGAGGCTGGTGGAGCTGCCTCACCCTGTCCCACAGTACAAACAAGTCCAGACATTCCTGCATCCCATAGGATGCACCCAGTTTTAGTTGAATGGCTTAAAGTGAGGGAGTGACAGCTCCCCTCATGTCCTTCATGCACCAGCACCAGCCCAGTGCCTGAATTCCTGCTAATTACCAAAGCTCCTGCTAATTAAATGCAAACCGTGGCCCCAAGTGTTTGCAAAGTTTCTATCCAGTGCCCTCATCCAAAGAGGAGCCTCCATGGACTGGCACTCCATGACTTGGTCCTTTCCATCTGCCTTGCACAGGAATCTTGACCAACATGTTCCTGGAAGCCAACATCTGTATTCCAACCTGGAGAACAGGGGAGAAGGAGCCTTCATGCTGGATTTATCAGCAAGACATAGACATCCTGGCTGCAATGTTCATGGCAAGAGACAAAAATTTTTAAAAAAGGAATAGCAAATATATTATATATATATATACATACATACATATATATATATATATATATATATAAAAAAACAGGAAACAAAATGCATCCTTGCACTGCTGCTATATGCTGGAAACGAATAGCAAACAACACCACCAACAAACAAAGCCAACCCTCTGCAGATAAATTGAAGAATTTCCTGGATTGGTGATCAAATCAGATTTAAAAAGTCATAATAATAACAATAATCTTGGTAACAATACAATAAGCCACCATCTTGCATGTTACATGAAAGGACACACAATCATGAGTTCATTTGTTGCACACTGAATGAAAAGGAAAACTGCTTTGCAACAAAGCAAGTAAGCAAACTGAAGTAAAAAACCACAAGCAGAAGCAAAACCATTCCCCACCTCTGGAAAGAAGAGAGAAAAACATTCAAGTTATGACCTTAGAGTTATTTTCCAATTCACAAGTGTCGTTTCGCCCTTCTCCTCATTCCATGCTGGTTTTTTGCATTTTTTGGGGGTTCTGTTAACTCTTCCCCTTCCCTTCCTTATCTTCTCTGTGCACTTGTCCAACCTCTTGTTCTCTGAAGGTATTTAGGAATGGGTTTCATTTCAAACAAAGCAAATGATATGTACATGGTTTCTCATCTCTAACGAGCAGCCTGTGGGGTTTCATATGGATGTGCATTTCAGTTCTGTATATTATTCTATATAACAGAGGGGGAGGGAGGGAACAATGCTGAAATAATTCAACAGTGCTGGTACAGACGATGCCAACATTTTTAAAGGTTAACTCTTGGATTGACTGTGGTTGGTGTACTTGGAGACTCTTAGATCACCCGTGGGACTGTGAGTCCTGCAGGAAGGAATGGGAAAGGTTTTGGCTGCTGCTGGCTGGGGGGGAAGGGGAGAGGGACAGGGACAGGAGTGTCCTGCTGGTGATGTGCAGTGTGTGGTGGTGAGGTTTGGAGGGGCAGCATCACCTGGAGGGGCAGGGAAGGCTCCAGCTCCAACAGCCCGAGGCAGGAGGGGCTCCCAGCCCCAGAGCACGGGCTCAGCTGGGAGCGAGGTGGGAGCTGCAGGGCTCGTGGGGTGGGTTTGCTTTGTTTCTGGATCCCAATAATGGACGTACATGAGTTTTGTAGTAGGGTCAGAGGCAGAGGGGCTGCTTGTGCCCTGCCTCCCCCACTGCCAGGGGTGTGGTGGCAAAGGCTGGGGACAGCGCTGGCAGTGCTGCCCTGTCTGCCATGGGATGGGCAGTGCAGGGAGCGTGCTGTGCCCATCTCTGCAGTGTCCCCAGTGTCCCAGGCTGGATGGGGGAGCCCAGGAGGTGTCAGTGGAGCTGCTCCCAGCTCAGCCTTCAGCCGAGGCTCCTCCAGGGCTGCCTTTGGAAGGGGCCCGTGGGCCAAGCCCAGGGCCCTGAACACTGTGAACAGGCAGTTCAGGTAGGCTCCCAACCAAAACCAGAAAGGAAAGGAAAGAAATGGGTTTCCTTCTTGGAATTATGTCTAGCTCCTACAGAAACAGAAGGGCCCATGATTCTGCACCATTTTGCCTTTAGTCTCCCACCCCTGACATAGGCTGTGCCCAGGACCGGGTGTGCTGTGCCAGGCCCTGCCAGGGCTCGCAGGATGCCCGAGCAGGAGCTCCTGAGCCACGAGGATGCCATGGGCAGCCCCTGCTCCCACCTGCACTGCCCAGCAGGGAGCTGCTCCCTGGCAGCTGCTCCCAATGAGCCTGTTCTCTGGCAGAGAGGCGTGGAAGGCAGGAGCACAGGGGCTGCTGCCAGTGCCAGTGCCCAGGTGCCAGCCACGCACCTCCAAGGAGCACAGCCCCAGCCTCACAGCACTTAGGGCAGCTGCAAAGAGGCTCCTTTTGTCTCCTTTGTTTTCCCAGTGCACCCAAGCCAGCCGTGCCCAGCAGAGGCACTGCAAGGGGTGGTGGAGGGTGTTCACCATGGCACAGTTCAGGGTCACAGCCCACCTGGCTGGGGCACCTCCACAGCCCACCCGAGGCTGCTGTGAGCCTGCAGAGTTGCTCTCAGCGTGGTGCCCAGCCCGGGAAGCGAAGGCTGCGCTGGGATTGAGCAGCTTTGCAGAGTGAGGCTCCCTGTGCTTGGGCTGCTCGAGTTCTGTTTGCAGTGAGCAGCCCCTGGGTCCCGCAGCGTGTTCATGGTGGCACTGTCAAAACCTTTTTTTTCCTTAAAAAAAAGAAAAAAAGGAAAGAAAAAAGCTCACTGCTTGTTTTCTTGGCAAGGTGTGGCTTACTGCTGCTCAGCTCCAGCCTGCCCATCACCACACTGTTTCAGATAGCTGGCCACTGCTTGTTTTCTTCCAGGGGCCTTTTCTGTGGAAAGGGGTGGGAGACATGAGTGCCTGTTTTTACCCAATCCCACAAATTCATTCTGAACCTGGCCTGCGATTGCATGAGTAATAATAACAGTAACAATAACAATAATAATAATAATAATATTTATTTTTCTTTGAGAAGCACCTTACCAACCAACTGCAACGCTCTGTTGTTCCTTCACTAACTCTCCTTTTCTCTTCCCTTGTTCTCCCTCTCCCCCTTTGGTCATACTCCTTTTCAGTGCTCGGTGGTGTATGCGTGTGTGCTCACTGTTCTTGTATTCAATAAAAGTGAAATAAATGTGTTTGATGCTAAATCACCCAGGGGCCTCGGTGGACTCTTTCCTTACTGAGAAGATGGAGAAGGGAAGGGAGAACCTTGCAACGGGAGCACTACACATGGAAATACCAGGCTTTGTCTAAAGAGAAGATCATAGAAATCACAGAACCCCAGAATGGCTTGGGCTGGAAGGGAATATAAATCTCATCCTGTTCAGCCTCTCGGTCCACCAGTCCCAGGCACGGCGCTTGTCCGTGGGGGGCTGGAAGCGCGGGGGCCCAGGGGAATGGCAGGAGGCAGCTGGGGGGACTGCGGGCCGGATTTGGGGACAATGGCTCAGCGGGGAGCAGCCGCCAGCCACGGAGAGGCTGAGGGGAGCAGCGCCGGGCCGGGGCTGGGGATGGGCGGGCGGGACAAGGACCGTGCCAGGGATGAGCGGAGGGGACAGCGAGCGAGCAGGGACCGAGCCGGGGCGATCGGGGGACACTTCCCGCTGTTCCCCGGGCACCGCCGCAGCGCAGCCCAGCCCAGCCCCGCCCGGGTGCAGTGCCGGTGCCGGGGCCGGCCGGGCACAGGCTCCTCCCGCCGCCGTGCCCGGAACCGCCAAGCCCGGATATCCGGCAGGGCCGCTGTGTGCTGGGTGCCATGGCGGCGCTGCGCTCGGACCCGGAGCTGGCCCGGCAGCTCTTCTTCGAGGGCGCGACCGTGGTGGTGCTGGACGTGCCCGAGGGCACGGAGTTCGGCATCGACTACAGCGCGTGGGCCGTGGGGCCGCGGTTCCGCGGCGTGAAGATGGTGCCGCCGGGGCTGCACTTCGTGCACTGCAGCGCGGCCGGCGGCGGCGGGCGGGACGCGGGGCCGCGCTCCGGCCGCTTCCTCAGCCTGCGGCGCCGCGAGGTGCGGGTGCTGCGCTGGGACCCCGCGGGCGAGGCCGTGCGGCCCGAGCCGCCCGAGCAGGGCGAGGCGCTGCGGGACGGCCTGCGGGAGCTGGACCCCTTCCTGGGGCCCTACCCCTACGAGACGCTGAAGAAGTGGGTGTCGCTGAGCAACTTCATCAGCGAGGCGGCGGCCGAGGAGCTGCAGCCCGAGAGCGGCCAGATCTGCGCCTTCGCCGAGGTGCTGCCCGAGGCGGCGGGGCGGCACACGCGGGACCGTGCCGGGCAGCGCCGGCCGCCGCTGGGCGCCGAGTGCCGCAGCTACGCCGAGGGCCTGGCCCGGCTGCCCCGCATGCGGCCGCGGGCCGGCACCCAGATCCGCTTCTCCGAGCTGCCCCGGCAGGCCTTCCCCGACGGGGCCAGCCCCGAGGAGATCACCCGGCACAGCATGGACCTGAGCTACGCCCTGCAGCGGGTGATGGAGCAGCGCTACCCCGGCCAGCCCCTGGGCCTGCTCGGTGAGCCCCGCCCGGGAAACGGCGTTTTGTGCTCGGGGTGCAGCCTCTGCCGAGGCGCCTCTTCAGTGCGGGACAGGAGTTTGTGGAGTTTATAGCAGCCATAGGGGCTGTTCCCAAGGCCTGGCAGAGGCTGAGGCCGGAGCTGCAGCTCCTCCCCAGGAGCAGCTGCCATCTCCCTTCTGTGTGACCAGGGAGAGCACCCGAGGGAACGGCTGGAGTTATCAGGGGAAATTTAGGTTGGATATTAGGAAAAGGTTCTTCCCCAGAAGGTGCTGGCACTGCCCAGGCTCCTCAGGGAATGGGCACGGCCCCGAGGCTGCCAGAGCTGCAGGAGGGTTTGGACAGCGCTGCCAGGGATGCCCAGGGTGGGATTGTTGGGGTGTCTGGGCAGGGATGAGGCTGGGCTGGGTGATTCTTGTGGGTCCCTCCTGACTCAGGAAATTCTGTCATTCTGTTCTGTGACTCTGGTGTGGGAACATGGTGCTGCAGCCCAGGTTGCCCCAGGTGAAGTCAAAAGCAGCCATCAGAGGTGGCCCTGGTGTCTGGCACCTTCCCTGTTCAGAGAACCTCATGAGGAACCTCCCAGGACTTACAGAGTGCTGGGAGCGGTGAGTGGGGATGGGCACCCCCAGCCCCCCGTTCCTGTCAGGTTGGGCAGGGCTGTGGGCCTGGTTCCTGCTGCAGGGACCGGGCCCTCCTGGCCCAGCTCTGTGTGTGCTGCTGGGGACAGGGGCAGTGCCCGGGCTGTGCCAGCCCTGCTGTGGGGACACCACACCCCCAGAGAGAGCTCAATGCTCCCCAGCCTGTTTTGCAACCTGTGATACAAATAAGTGCTGGGTTTGTGGAGGTCCTGGAGCAGGGTTTTGTTTTGTTGCACGATGGAGGGAGAAGCCCTCCCAGCTGGAACCCAGGTTTGGAATAAGCCTTTGTTTGTCCCTTCTTTCATATTTTTGTACATTAACATCATACAACTTATTATTTTTCAAAATTACCAAAGACAACTGTAGGATGTAGAGAGAACCTTAGGGAATGGTGGCAAAGCAGCTGATACCAAGCATCCAGTGTGATGAACCCTGGCTCTTAGTTCAACAAGGCAAACACACTTGTTGAGGCACTGCTGGCCTCTCCCAGAATTCCAGGACAGGGCTGTTTGCAGTCCCATGTGGTGCTGGACACTCAGCCCAGGCAGGCTGAACACTCACAGAGTAACAGCAGGCTCTGCCTTGTTGTTTGGTGGTGTTTGCTGTCTGTAGAGTCCTTCTGCAGTGCTGATAACCACAGTTACAGGTGACCTGCCCCATCCTGCTTTGCTTTGCTCCGTCTAAAGAGCAGCACAGGCTCAGTGTTTGAGGTATGAATGCCCTTTGCAAAAGCCAAACCAGAGTTTAGAAATCATTTGCAGAGCTTTGGGGAGGACACATTCCCAGGATATCTGTTAGTCTTACGTGTTTTGTTTTGTTTCCCTTCTCTGAACCCACTCAGCTGAGTTGCAGTTTGCCTTCATCTGTTTCCTGATTGGGAACGTGTATGATGCCTTTGAGCACTGGAAGAGGCTCCTGAACATGCTGTGCCGCTCAGAGGAGGCCATGGGGAAGTACCAGGACCTTTACATCAACCTCATTTCCGTGCTCTATCACCAGCTCAACGAGATCCCAGCAGATTTTTTTGTGGACATTGTCTCCCAGGACAACTTTTTAACCAGCACCTTGCAGGTGTGTTGGGGCTCTTCCCTGGGAAATGGGGTGGGAGGGGGGGCATCAGCAAATCTGGGGAGGAGCTGCCAAAGGAATCCAGCTGTGTGGGAGATGGGAGCCTGTCTGAGCACACAGGGCTTTACTTTGACTTTTTCCCTCTTTTATTCAGCAAGAAATTCGGCTCAGCAGATACAAGAGAGGCTGTGCAACTGCAGCAGAGTGTCTGTTTGTTTAATTTTTCCAAAGTGCCGTTCATTCTTCAAAAGAAAAAACAACACACAAAGCTTTGGCATGAAGGACTGATGATGCTGGCTTTTGGACTGATTTGCTCAGTGTGCAGCGAAGCTGCAGCTAGGCTTTGTTGAGACAAGGGCAGTGATGGTGTTTAAGAAGCTTTTCCATTGCTTAGCACAGCTGAGGATTTCCTGCCATCAGGTTCTTCTCCAGAGGGAATTTATGGTTATTCCAAAATGCAGAAGGTGCTGCCTCTGCTGGGACAGGTGGGGCAGGTGTGTGCCTCAGCCCAGTGAAAGCAGTTACCCACTGTAGGAGCAATGGGGGTAGGATGGTTGGGACAGACGGACACGAGAGATCTCTGCAGCCAGGGCTGGAACTTGGGGTTTATTGCAAAGGGCCTGGGGGCAGGGCCCTGCTGGGAGCTGCCAGACACAGCCCAGAGCAGGCTGAGAGAGGGAAAGAGGATGAGAGAGATTGAGAGGGACAGAGAGTGAAGTTCCCATCACAATACAATAAATCTTCTTCTGTGCTGAATATTGTAATTCTCACTAACCAATCTAGTACAAGATACAAATCCTACAGCATTTACATACAACCTATAAGAATCATTACATTACCATGCTGTATTACATTTTAAATCCTAAAAACTCCTCTTTGGGCCCCTTCTGCCAAGCTGTAGGGTCTGCTCTGACCCTTGGAGCTGTCTGCAAGCAGAGGGTGTTGTTCCATCAAAAGGGGATCACCTTCAGCTGGCCATGCCATTGTTTCCCAGTTGTTCAGTAACTGAGGTATCTCAAAGCTTGCTTTCATTTCAATCTCACTTACTGTTTCCATATTCTCAAAATCTGTTGCCAGGCAATCATATTGATAAGGCTTTCCTGTTTCATCTTCCCCAACACCCACTGCTGGTGCCCATGCTGGCACTGCAGCAAGCTGGCTTATTTTACAAAAAATAGCCCAAATCAGACACTGACAAAGCTGAGCAATGGGAAGCAGCCCAGCAGAAAGCTCTACTGCAGGTGCTGTTCATTCCTCTCCTTGGTGACCCCAAGTCCTTGCTGTACTTCTGGGGAAGGTGAAGGTATTTGGGTTTAATTGCTGGGTAAAATGTTCTGGGAAGCATTGCTTTAATCAAGTGGCTTTCAGATTTTTCAGTTGCGATTCTTACATGTCTCAGGAGGGTTTTAATTTGCATTTTATTTCTGTTGGTGGATTTTTTCCATCGCACTACAGGACAGCCCAGCTGTGTTTGCAGCACACTCAGAGCAGTGCTGTCAGTTCCCAGCAATACCCACAATTTGGGAAACCCTTCTGGCTGCCTGAGTCCTGTCCATCCCTGGGCTCCCTCAGTGTGTGGAGCTCCACAGGAGCTGTGCTGGTTCAGGATCACCCCTAGGCCCTGCAGGACTCACCACATTGCCCTTGCAGACTGAGCCCCTCCTCACTGAGCTCTCCATGCTCTGCTCCTGTGGGATTTCCTCAATGGAGCCAGGGAAGCTCTGGGCCTTGCCTTACCCTCTGCACACACAGACTGCAGAGCTGTGGGGAGGGCATTGTCTCTGCAGCTCCTGCTCAGCTCTGGAAGCAGCAACTTCTTTTCTGGGGTTTGAGCCAAGGCAAGAGGAGCACAGCACAGCCACCAGTGACTCTGCAGCCCTACCAGTGCTTAAAAAAAACCAAACCAGCTTGGTGAAATAGCTAATTCAATGTGCAGCTCATTGAGAAGAAGTAGGAAGTAAAATCTTCTAATAATTTTTTTCCCTACCAGCAGCATTTCTGTGTAAGAATTCTGTTAGAAAGAGGCAGTTTTCCAGTAGAATGAGCAAGAAAAAGGCAAATGTTCATCCACAAAGCAGAGAACTTTGCTGCTCATTGTCAGTGCTTTATCCAGCTCCCAGTAAATAAGAGGCTGTGTTTTCCCAGAGGAGATTTCTTTTTATGGCAATTATTTCTGGATCAGTTCAGGAGGAGCAGAGCTGGGCTGGGCTCTGGGCTCAGTGCCCTGTTCATTACACACAGGTGCTTTCCCCTGAGTCCAGCAGAGGCTGAGTTTGTGACATGTCAGTAGATTTGTGTTTGGGGATGGAAGGCAGGGGTTCCCCCACACTGCAGCACCCTGTGCACAAGGGGATGGCTGTGCTGGGGATAACCAAGCTTTTCCAGAGAGCTCCCATTCCTTTCTGACATTCAAGCTACTTTCATTAAGTTTCCTCTGTGTCCTGAAGTGTTGGTAACACCTTGTTACAGAATTGCTTTGGGAGATCTCTGCCCATGGAAATGAGGGCTGCAAGTATTTGCTGGCCTTTGGACATTTGCTGGAAGTTTGCCTACTCATATTTGAATTTTTTTTAAATGCCTTCTGTCAGGATGTTTCCTGAGCTCACCCTTGGGCCTATTTCAGAATTGCACAGTACAAATTCAGTTACAGACACCTCCTGCCTCAGACCAAGCTCTGCCCTGAGTGCAGATGTGTGTGGTGCTGCTCAGTGCTGTGCAGGCAGGGTGGGCTTGGGCTGGGAGGTGGGAGCTGTGGGCTTTGGCTGGGTCCCCCCAGAGCTGCAGGATCCCAGCCTGGTGTCCCTGCAGGGAGGAGGTGCCCAGCTGAGGCCGTGGCTGGGCTCTGCCTGACCTCTGCTCTTTGTTTCAGGTGCTGTTCTCCTGCACCTGCAGCTCTGCTGTGGATGAGGCTCTGAGGAACAAGGCTGAGAAGTTCAAGGCTCACCTGACAAAGAAATTCAGATGGGACTTTGAGGCAGAGCCTGAGGACTGTGCCCCTGTGGTGGTGGAGCTGCCTGAGGGTGTGCAGGTGGACTGAGCCAAGGGGCCCTTAGGAGCAAACAGCTTCTAAAATGACCTTTCCTTCTCTTCTGCAGCCCTGCCAGCCACTTGAGGGCTGTGTCTGAAGCTGATCCTCTCTCTGCTGGAGAAGCAGGTGTGGGAAACCCAGGAGGGTGCTGAGCTCTGTGAGGAGCCCAGAGGTGTTGGAGGAGTTTGAGCGTTGCCATGTGGCACCTTTGGACAGGTTGGGGTTTTCCCAGCCCTCCTGCAGTGTCTCCTCCTGGAATGCAAGCCACAGACAAAGTCACAGAGTCATTAAAGTTCCAGAAGACCTTTTGGATATCGTGGAGTTCAGCCCTAAACGTGACACTGCCACAATCCTCCTGCACTCAGCTGTCCTCTCATCCCTGCTCCCCTCTCCTGCTGGGCTCAGCTGATCCCTCCTTGGGGAGCACCTCTGCTTTAGGGGTGTCTGGGTTTGAACAGCCAGGTGTCTGCTGAGGAAGGCCGGAGGAACCTCTCCTGAAATGGAAAATGTAAACCCCCTCCCTCTGAATTAGTATAAGTTTGAAATTCAGGGGTTTCAGGTAAAGATATGGGACCAGGAATAACAGTTCTTTACTAGGAAAATTAAAAATACAAATGCAATAGTACAAAAAAAGAAAACAAAGCACAGAGTGATCACAGGCCCTGGCCCCTGTGTGTCAGGGCGGTGTCCCAGCCCCATGCCATGGGGGCTCAGCCCTCCTGCAGTGCCAGCTGTGGCTCTGCTGCAGCAGGGATCCTGCACAAGGGGGGAGTTTTCCTCTGCAGCTCCAGGGCTGCTGCAGATGGGCCTGGGCTCCCTCTGGCCATGCAGGGCAGCAGAAAGCTGCTCCTCTGGCAATGCAGGGGGCAAAGGCTGCTGTGCTGTGCCAGGCTCAGATTGGATCCAGGTAGGAATGCTTGGCTCCTCCCCTGGGCGGAGCATCTCCCCATGGGATGCTGGGATTGGATCAGCCCTGCAGGGACACTCAGTGGCCATGGACAGCAGAGATCTCCTGGAGGGAGGGTTGGCTGTGGCAGAGAGAAAGAAAACTGCCCCTGGAACAGCAGAGAACTGCTTCAACTCTGACAGATGGCAAATAGAGCACACACTTACAATATCTTACAATCCCAGACATCATCCGACCCCCAAACTGCTCTTCATTCCTTCTCCCTGCTCCACAGGCTCTCTGGTGCTGGACAAATCAGAGTTTTCAGTCTCAGGGACAGTTTCCTGGTGTGGGGCACCTGGCTTGTCCTGCACATGGATTGCTGCTGCTTGTCCCATCCACCTGCAAATCCAGGCATGAGGAATGTGCTGCCCTCCTGTCACAGTGTGGCACAACTCCTTTTTTATTGGTGTGACAGGTGAGCCATGCCGTGGCTGACTCGCACAATTAAAGGGCAAATATCCTGTATACATGTTAAGTTTTATAGATTTATAGTTATGTTTTCCCCCCTTGTGTTGTTATCAGGGGTAACCTGGGTTTGGGACCTTTGGGAGGGTCAGTTTGTCACTGTGGCAGCACCTGAGCTCCAATCAGGATTTAAGGCAGTGATCTCCAGCACTGGGCAGTGAAGGAGGAGTCGATGGACAGAGCTTTGAGAGGAGCTAAAGGGTTAAAAGGCAAAACCTCCATGGTATGGGTGAGCACATGGTGGGAAAGATCCTCTGCTCCTGGCACTGTAATATTGTCTCTATTCAGTCTTCTGTTGTATTTTTGATAAGGTTTTAATAAAACTTTAAAATGTTTTGAGAGTATAATTTCTCGCAATGGGGAGAAATAAAAAAAATTAAAGACATAGAAAGCTTTGCTCAGCCTCATCTGAGGTGTTGCTTGGGCCACTCCCCCATTCTGTTGATCTAGAATGTGTTTCAGAGTGTGGTGTGTCCTTTCAACAATTGCCTGACTTGTGAGGGAATGGGGAATTCCAAAAGTGTGGCGAACACCCCAGTCCAGCAGAAATGTGGCCAATGTTTGAGCTGTGCATGCAGGGCCATTGTGACTCCAATGGTGACTTCCCTGTTGGTGCCACCCCTCCTGCCCCCTGCCAGGGCACCAGGCAGGGCACCTGTGTCCCCTTTGGGGAGGGTTGGTGCCCCTGGTTCCACCCTGGCACTGGGAATCTCTCGGGGTGGTTCTGCAGCCCCATGGCAGCAATTCCTGCAGCCCTCGAGCAGCTCTGGTTTGTGGGGTTTGTGTGGTGTTAGGTGGGAAGGTGCAGGAAGCTTGGCAGTGCTGTGGTTTGGAATCTGAAGTTAGCTCAGGGTTAAATTTTTTTTGAACCAGCAATTCTTCCTTGGGGCACTCTCTTGTCCTGTTTAAGGGTAAGTTGGATTTTTGTTCTTTGCTCGGTGTTTTGCTGAGCCAATCCTGCCTGTCTCTGTCCACTGTGCACCAGTTCCAGTATTTTCAGGTTTTATTAGGTTTTTCTGGTGTTTGCTGTTATTGTACCCTCATTTTTCTTTAGAAATAACACAATAGAAATCCATTTGTGCCTCCAGCAGCTCCCAGGAGGGAGAGGTTTTCCAGGGTCTCTCAGACACACACCACCTTTGTTTGGAGCACTGTTTATATCTGCTGTGCTTTGGCAGCTGGCAGGGCCTGCCCCAGCTGCTGCAGATGGACTGGCTGGCACTGAGCTCCTGGAATATGGGAAAAGATGGAGTGGAGCTCCTTGATTCCCCTTTCTGAGAGGGAAATCATTTACTGCTGGCACTGCTGGGATTGTCAAACATTGTCAGTGCTCCTTGGGCAGGAGGGATGTGCTGGCTCTGGCCATTCCTTCCTGCCCTGCTCCCTCAGGAGCTCCTGTGCTGCTCTGCTGGGTCTGGGAGCTGCCCTGGGGACAAGGGGGGCACCGGCCAGGCTGGGGGCAGACAGAGCAGAAATTATCCAGAGTGAAAATCTGTTTTGATTTAGGTGAGATGTACATCTTTGAGCTAAGTCTGTAGCTTGCAGACGCCTGTTTAGTCTGACTGCCTGTCCTCATAAAAAGCTGATGCTGGGAGAAACTGCTTCAGCCAAAGGACAGAGATAAGGGGGAGCAGACAGAGAGATTGTTACAGAGAGAGGGCAGCCTGACCCAGGAATTCTTTCTGATAAAGAAGAATTAGTGGCGAATATCACACAAAGTCAGTAGAATGAATATCTATGAACCTACTGTGAAATTGCATGCAGATGTGTTTGAGAGGGAGATAAAAAAGGATCTGGAGTTCCCAGAGGCACCCATGTCATTTTAGGGGAACAATTCCCACATGTGTCCAGCGCTGTAATAAACACAGCAGCTTTACAGCTTTCACAAATTGTGGAGTTTGTTTGCTTCAGCAAATCAGGGCTGGGGATGCTCCACAGAGCCCAGGAGGCTCCACTGCAGGGGCCTCATTAGGGCAGCGCTAATGAGCTGCACGGCAGCCTCCATGCAAATGAGCCCCATGTGGGTCAATCGATGGCAGGAAAAATCCCCGGGGCTGCTCTGGGTGCCCTGGGCCTGCCCTGCCCGGGGAGCTGCAGCAGGAATGCCCTGGGTGAGAAACGCCAAGCACTTGTTTGTAAAATTTTAATAGTTTAATAAAATGGTTATAAAAATAGCAATATAATTAGAATAATAAAAATTTTGGACAATTTGAATTAGGACAATATGAGACAATAAAAACAAAGAGTTATGGACAATCTGGGTACCTCCTTCTGGGCAGCACAAGCCTGAAAAAGGACACAGTTAACAGAGGATTAACCCTTAAAAGCAACAGCCTGTTGCATATTCATACACCTCATCCATGATGCATAAATTCCATTCAAACACAGGATTCTGTCTGGGCAGTGTCAGCTTCCTCCTCTCAATCCTAAACAGCATCTTCATGTCCAAGCAAGGCAGGAAGAAGTTCGTTTCTTCTGATAATGGAGCAATAAATTCTCTTTCTCTGAAAGATTTTGGTGTCCGGGGGCTGCTATCTGGTGTGCCTCATTCCTTTCTTAAAAAAAAAATCCCCACATACATAGTTGCCATCTGGTACAAGTACCTCATTCCTTTCTTTAAAGAAATCCCACATAGATACTCCCTATTTTAACTACAAAAGTTACCTTTTAACTACAAAACTGCATTTACCATTCTATTAAAATGTTAATGCAGCACTACTAATCAATACAACACAATACATACAGTAAATATCTGCATAGAGCCACAAAATATGCACTTTTTATGTATATATGTTATGTATAAGATACACCCTTCATCTTGCAGGGCTGGCACTTTCCTTGCATCTCCACTGTCCCCATGGACTGGGAACCAAATCCTGAGCCCCTGCCTGGCAGGAGGGGACAGGGGACAGAAGGAGGCTCCCTTCCCTGGCTCCATCCCGGGCAGTGCCCCCGTGTCACTGTCATATTTCATGAAAAATCCCTTTGCCAGGATTTTCCTCCTGAGAATCTTCAGAAAAAACATGTAAACAATAATTATCTGATTGCTTGGGATGTGCTCTGGAGGTTGCTCACCAACAGGTGCATCTTTGATTGGTTCCATGTGAATTGTTTCTAATTAATGACCAATCCCAGTCCAGCTGTGTCAGGACTCTCTGGTCAGTCACAGGTTTTTTATTATTCATTCTTGTTAAGCCTTCTGATGTCTCCTTTCTCTTTCTTTAGTATAGTTTTAGGATATAATATAATATAATATAATATAATATAATATAATATAATATAATATAATATAATATAATATAATATAATATAATACAATATAATATATATAAATAACAGCCTTCTGAGAACTTGGAGTCAATTCTCATCTCTCACCTCATCCTGGGGACCCTTACATTGACACCACAATTGGTGACCACACTCCTGTGTCCTGCACACACTGGTTGTTCCTGGCACATGGGGGCTCCCCAGAACAAGTGTAGTTCTATCCTATGATAAAGGATTTTTAGCATTTTTTAGTATTTTTCCTCCCCCCAAGGGCAGGTTTAGCCACATTTGTTGATTTTAATAGCAGAAGCTGCTTCTCCCCCCAGCTGTGATGGCTCTGCCCCCTTTGGGGGAAGGCAGCATAGAGAGGATTGCTGTGATTTTTATACATTACAGTAAATACAAATGCAGGTTTCAAACTTCTAAATAAATAAATTAAATAAGAGGAAGATGTCTTTGGTTTTTATTCAAAAAATCCCTGATTTCTCCCTCAGCTGAGGAGCAGCTGAAAGTGCAAGGAACAGCCTGGAGCACCCAGGAAAGCTTAACCTGGGTGTAGCTGTGGGCACACAGGAGGCTGCAGAGGTTTGGAAAAGAGGTATGTCGTGGATAATACTGAAAAAGCTGGGTTTGGAAGAGATCCCTTCCCAGCAGATGTGCATTTGTGGAGGTTTCAGATGATGCACAAAACAAGAGCTGTTTTTTTTGACCGGACAGAACTGGGGATTCTTTCTGCACTTGAGCAAGCAAAAAGGTGGCCATGTCTGTTGGGAAAGGATCTCTGGGGCATAGGAATTTCGTTGAGAATCTGACCTGTCATTCTGTCAAGACTTTTTTTTTCTCTCTTTTTTTTTTTATTTTTTTTTAAATGAAATTATCTTTGTTTAACCAAAGGCATGAAGTGACAGGACAAGGGGAAATGGCTTCCCAGTGCCAGGGAGCAGGGATGGATGGGACATTGGAAAGGAATTTCTCCCCGTGAGGGTGGGCAGGCCCTAGCACAGGGTGCCCAGAGCAGCTGTGGCTGTCCCTGGATCCCTGGCAGTGCCCAAGGCCAGGTTGGATGGGGCTGGAGCACCCTGGGATGGTGGGAGGTGTCCCTGCCATGGCAGGTTTGATCTTTAAGGTCCCTCCAACCCAAACCATCCTGGGATTCTAACCAGTGGGAATTCCCAGAGACTGTATTTCAGGAGTCAGTGTTGGGTGCCCCAGGCCAGCCAGGACAGGAATTCCCCTGGGATTCTGCCCTGATTGTGCCATTTGCTCATCCCCTCCCTGGCCTGGCTAGATGCTCACATGTGCTGTCAGTGGGGGGAGTTCCTCTTGCT